GCTAACAGTTTTCGTTTCACAATTTTGCATGAAAAGTTTATAGAGTCTAATAATACGTAGTTGTGACCCTGTTCGGCTGATGAAGTTGATACCTTCAAAGATTACTCAGGAAGTTTGCATACGACGAGCTTATCTCAAGGCAGAGATAAACATTCTGGTGTTGATCATTGTAAAAAAAATTACTTTCTGAAAATATAGAAGTTTTTGCGTCGAAAGCGTTTTAGACTTACTACCGTAACCTTGCGGTGGTGGAAGAAAATCTTATTTCTTCAATTCTAATTTGCGGTATCTGTGAAATATCTTACGTATGCATTACGGTTAAATACTTATAATTTCTTGATTAATCTTCCTTTTCAACAAAGTATTTTGGTAAGAAGTAAGTAAAGATGGAATTAAATTTCTCAAGATGCTGATTGCTTTTCTTATAAACTCTTGGGCATCATGTGAGATTTGCATTGCTGTGATGTTTGTATAGTGCTTGAAATTCCAATCTATATATCAATTGCAAAATTTTTCTACGCTTTCAAGTATTCTTACAATCAGATCAGTAGCATAATTAACCTATACTTTGTCTGAAATCAGCATAGAGATTTATTTTACTGTCCATAGGGAAAAGAATGTGAAAAGTCATTTTTGTTGAACGGAAGCATGTCTTGCTGAGAATTACTTGTTATGTATACGACCACACTATTCACTCATCCGAAATAGGGTTCGGCACGAGGTGGCTTTTTGAAATTGTAAAAAACAAAGTCCCCCTTAACTTTCCCAAAATTTTACGAAGTGTTCTTTGACCCTAAACCAGGAACGTAACCCTCCCCTCCCCCGTCAAAAAAAACGAAACGACGACTAAAGAAACGTAATTGTTGTTTTTTGTTTTTTGTTTTTCTAAGTTGTTTTTTTGAACAATATCCCCTTGCTTTTTGCCACAAAAACAATATCCAGCTTGCTTATAACTGTCCGGGAATTTTTTCGCGGCTGTGACTCATTTGTATCGCTTGTTTCACATTTGCTTGATTTATGGATGCTTTTTTGACGACATCGACTATTCAGGTATTTGACGTTCGGAATAAGTGACATTTATCTTCTTTTTATGATTGATGTCTTCGAGTGCACTATCTGGCCTTTACCTTCATTTCTGCAGCTGGAATCACTGGCCTGCTTAAGCCTTCAGTAATTACCAAGAGTACTTGAGAGCTTTGTGATGCAGTGCGCGAGCTGAGGCAATCTTTCATGATATTTTGCTGCTCTTCTTTTTTGTTCTTATATGTGATTAGAATTCTCTGTTGTAATCTATAGAATATGTTGGCTATAAATTGAGACATAAACATGCTAGTGATTCAATATATAAGTCTTGAGTCTTGCAAAAAATTTGCTTTCGTTTGAAAAATGCCCAGCATTTGTTCTCATCGTAATATTAGGTTGGTTCATAATTAATGCACGTTTTCTCAACTTCCACTTCTAATGAAGATAATTCTTTTCCAAAACAATCTTTCTGATCGCAACAAAAACTACTGTAAACAGCAAACTTTTAGCTATACACGTGTACTTTTGTGTGATTGCACTCACCACGGGAAAGATTTTACGGCTCAAAATTTACCGAGAATTTTTTCTGAAAAGCTCTAGTTTGAAGGAGCATAACTTACTCTCAAAAGAACTAGAATGGAGCAAACTTTGCTCATTGTGTAGCTGATGGTCGATTCAGTAGTAGCGTGGAACTTGGCTTTTACCAAAAATTTTCTGCGGAAAAAATATTGCCAAGAAAGCAAAAGTACCATTTTCTCCGGCATTTTAGAGAAGGCAAAATCTGTATTTTTTGAATTCCTCCGATTTTTTCTCATTTCAAAAACGAGAAAATTCTGCCGTTTTACTATTATTAGTAGTCCTTGGCCTACTCTACCAAAACCAAGTGAAAGTTCTGTAATTGCTTCTCACATAAGCATTTTATAAAGCTCCGAGTGATCCTAGCATTCAGCAAAGTTTAAGTCAAAGCTTCTCGACTCAGGATCTTTAAAAAACTTAGCCTTGATGAGCATTTTGTAGCACTCTTCGCGATTATAATAGATATTTTTTGAAACAAATTGGAGCATTTTTCATGGAATTAAGGCGAGTCGAATGAAAGGAAAAAATTTCAAGTAAAAGTTCCTCACCTTTGAAGGCTTGGAACTTCGGTCTGAACAAAGATCTCCGAAAAAGAAAGTGTATGTTCGAAAGTAGAAGAAACGAGCTTTCCGATAGTTTAGATGGTTCTAGAGAAAAACGATTTTTGATTGAAAACTAGCGTTTTGAAGAGGTAGGAAAAACGTGCATTAATTATGAACCAACCTAATATAAAGACGTTCCAAAAGTGTGCTTGCTCGAATGCCTTTCGTCAATCCTCAGGTACCGTTCTGGAGTGCTGGCTTCAAATTAGGCTCACGTTACGTAGATAAAAAGCGCTCTTCAAAGTTGATACCGGATCCTACAGTAATGGAAAATGATCAGTGATCCGCTCCAATGTAGATCAACTTTGAACTCAATTCTAGGAAATTGTGTCTGAAGATCGACGAAAGCTGGAGCAAGAGAGGTGGTAGCAAACAAACAGTGCTCACTAGTCATGAGACTCCCTTCGTATATCAGAATTTTATTCTAGAAAATTCAAGTTGAAGCAGAATATTGTAACTATTCTTGAGGAGGTTCGATCAACACTGCCTTTCTCTAGTCTATGGAACCAACAACAAAACTAAAGTCATATTTTCTTTGACATATTTCTAACGATCGAAACGAGTAGCTATTTGGGTGGGTCCAAGCATCGTATAGTTTGTGAAATGGCATCAACGATTTTCCCCTTTCAACTACTGAACACACATTCGCTTTCTGCTTTATGTTAAATCACACATCTTTTTTTCAAAAAAAAATTTTTTTTCCAACTCATTTTCCAATGTACTTAGTGGAATGGTTTCAACCTTTTTTTCATATAAATCAATACCCAATTTTAACACATTCACGACAATGTGACTGGTGGGCCGTACGTGTTCTGCCACAATACGATCCACCGGTGGGTCATAATATTCCTTAAACTCTAGCTTTGCATGTTTACTATGAAATTCTACAGGGTTCTGACATATGATTGGGGACACCTAGGCGAAGCTCCAGCCAGAGTGATCCATGCTTGCAATACTGTAATGCGATGTTATGGTAGGTATACCGTAGACAGATATAAAGCGCAGACCTTAACTCATTTTTCACAGCATGATGCTGTTTCTGGAAGATCAAGTGTACATGCACGAGCAATACGGGGCGGGCAAGAGACTGGCTTTAGCCCACCAAAAAATTATCGGATTTTATTGATTTTATTGCTTTTTTGCATTGTATCCCAGAAAGCTCGAATTTTACATATATAGGTTTTGTAGCATGCTGATTATGAAAATGATAGTTTCAAGTTCTAATGCCACCTTCTTATATCAGTTTCTTAATTTTTACGAGAATTTTACCGTACTGCTACCGTAACCCCACTGTTGGACAATACTAAACAAAGTGGACACTAATACCGTGATCAGCACGTGGAGTAACCCCAAAGCACAACTTTTTATGAAAATTCATTATGCTGATTTCGTACAAAACGACTACCGTAACCTTTCCGTGTAATGCCAAAAACAAAAATAATCCCTTTTTTGATAACTAGCGCCTTTGTTTACCCTTTTGAGAAAAATCTCGGAGACATGTTTTGAACTTTTTCCAAAAAACTACCATTTTGGACAATACGACCCACGGATGGGTCGTAAGTTTGACAAAGCGAGAAAGGCTCTGGTCCGAAACGGCAGTAATGGAAATATCGGCCTTGTCGTGAATGTGTTAATTTGTTTCCATTACTTGTTTGATAGACAAAACATCAAAGCAATCGACAAGAACGCTCTTCCTACAGTAGACTACTTCCATATTTCGCCCTAATTCTTACATCCACCTAGGTGGATCAAATTCCTAAGCACGAGAATCTGAGATCACTGTCTCCTTCCATGCTTTTGTTTTCCCCTGCTGCTCACTTCCACATGTGTATCTCAATAGCTCGCCGCATTCAGTCCTGCGTGTAATCGGCTTTTTTCTCCTTGCAAATGCTTTCATTGCTATAGGATGATATTTATCCCCACCGATTTTTTGCTACTTGTGATTTGAAATCCAGCAGATACATAAATTATATATATGCCTTTTACGAGAAACTTGTGAGAAATCTTCTCAAAAAGTCCTACTTTTCTGTTGAGTCCTTGGAATTTCAGAAAGCGTATTGCCAAAAAAGGATTTAGTGTTATATAGGTTCTAGGAAAAAAACTTTGAGGCTGCTTTGTTTTTTATGGACGAAAGATATCAGTGAAATTAGTGCAAAATATGTAGATTATCGGCAGTCACGTCTTGTTTCTGAGATTTTGTCTGGAGGGGGGGGGGGAAGATCCCCAAAATTTTGGATTTCAAAAAAATCTTCGAAACCTGTGGCTAATGCCACACCTTTTCATTCGAAAAAAATTTTAGGATCTTATCAAAGCGTAATTTTTGCTATTTCGGCTATTCCTCTTATGGTCAGTACTCTTTCTTCGTTCTTCTTTCACCTGATTCTTTTAATGGAGCCTTATTCGCTAAAGAACAAGCTTTTATTGACAAATTCAAATCACCTGTTCATTTATAGACTTTGTTGCAAATTTTACTCGCTATGCATTTCTGTCTAAAGTTTTCTGTTTCACGATCAATAGAAAAGGACGAAGTCAAGAATCAACACGGTTCCGAACTTGGTGTAATTAGACGTCGCATGGTCTAAAGAATATCGCAAAGTCTAAATAGTCTCTTTCGTATTCATGACAGAAAATTCATTCCTTAGTTTCTTTTATTTCCTGCAAACTTTTTATTGTTGCCTACAGCATGTAGAGATATTTTGTAAACTTTTTCTTCAGAAAAATATTTCTGCCACCGAGATCATATTGCTTCTGTCTTTGTTGTCCAAATGACTCGATTTGCGTATTTACAGATTGTAAACTTCGATGGATTGGTGGCTTCTGCTATACTCCTTAGTTATGAGGATGGCAACAGTTCTATCAGTAAAACATTGCTATCAATGCTCAGACGCTAATATCGAAACAGTGAGTCGTTCTACTTATTTCTACAGCATGGCTTATTGCTACAGGCGAATTCTGAGAGTGGCGAAACAAGTAAATAAGGGAAAAGATGAACATCCATAGCCATGAGATACAGGCATAAAACTTTCGATTCAACTGGCTTGGCGTCTGAAAGGCGGGGTTTTGTGACCTAATTAGGGTCGCTCGTGCACGCTGCGCAATCTGCGTCTCTCCCGCATGCGTGCTCTCTTGTCACTATCTAGCCTCAACGAGGTCAAAAAGTCCTGCCTTCCAGGCGCCAAGCCATTAAATCAAGGGGTACAAGCTCCTTAACAAATATGCTGATGGAATGCTGGAACCCTAGTGCTACTTAACTGAGTATGAGATAATATAAGATACATTACAATCATCAAAAGATTTGAGATTAATGAAATAGATAAGTGAGGTACAGAAACCATTGGGAGCTCAAGAAATTTGCGGAAGGGAAGAGAGCAAAGAATTGAAAAGGGAGCAAAGCGTTTTTCCAGAATTTTATTGGAAATTTTAAATTCTTGGCAAGGTTACCTTAAGGTTTCAAGGCAAGGCTGCCTAAGTCTCAGAATAAAAGGGTAATATTCACAAAGTATAAACAGTTTTGTATTCACCCTTGTTATCTATTCCAAATTTTTTCCCGTACCCATATCCTTCCAGTTTTGTTGTTGCTCATGTGATTGAGACGATTTCCAGCATTATGGAGTATTCTTCATCAATCCGAGGGTTATACAAGATGGGAACAAAAACGATGTAAAGAAATGCGACAGGTAAGTTTTACTAGGAAGAATCGATAAATCGATTGAATCTACTCACAACTAAAGGTTCAATGTACCTGTGGTCGAATGTAACGACACATGCTTCTCGTTAAATGTCACATCGTTGCACGTAAAAGGTCGAGAAGTGCTTCCTTTTGGTAAGCGTTAAGAAAAATTTTGATATTTTGTGTAAGTGATACATTTCAAGGAGCTGCTCATGGATGTTCGCAGTATGTGTTGAGTGAAGACGTCGATGATCAAACAGGATGCACGAAAAAGGACATTTTGTTACGGTAAGTATGCTTATATGGGTTATAAAACGTAAATTCTGAGCTCTCCAAACTCTCCATTAGCAAGAAACTTTTGATATTGATAGAACTTTCCATATTGATAGAACGCATAAAGGAGGCGGTGGCTCCTGTGCTGCGAGCATAAGATTGCTCCAGAAGTTGAGATAACTCCGTCCACTGGGATAGCACCGCCCACTTCCATTCACCAAGTGAGAAAACTTGCAAAAATGTCAGTGGAAGGCATTGATGATGGTGATGGGTATAGATGTAGGCCAGAAAAAGCATGTGAAGCTTTTTCGCGGAGCAGATTCATGGTGCCAAAATCAAAACAATCTCTATGACGAAAGCAAATCGTAAGTATAATTTTTCCAAACACATCAGCAGGGGGCTGTAGTCTCCTTCTATTTGGTCCAGCATAATTGTGAATATAGCGAAGTCAAGGGTGTCAATCTCCTAGATTATTTGGTGAGTGGGAGGGGCTATATCGGTGGGCGGACCTGTACCAGCACAAACTTACCCGTTGATTCAACATGCTTGGCCGTTGAAAAGCGGGGCTTGTGTAATTAACTAGATAATGATCAGAGAGCATGCGCGCGACAGAGACGCAGACTGCATCGCAGGTGCGAGCGACCTCAACTAGGACACAAAGCCTCGCCTTCCAGCCGCCAAGACAGTTGAATCAGAGGTTAACTCTCCGTTCTCAGCATTTTGAAGGCAGACTTGCGCCCTTTTGAAATAGAAGATATAAAGCTGGTAAAAAGTTACTATTCAAAATTGGCTTCTTTTATAGCATCGCACATAATTTTGACCAGCACATTATCCTTGCAGTTAAAAACTATAATTCGAACTTTGCCTTGACCATTAAAAAATTTTGAAAAAATGAAAAATATATTCATGCGCGAGAAAACGTAAGTAATCGTTTTTTATATGTGTCTCATATACAATAGTTCGTTTATAATGTACAGCTTCTACGTTAGCTTCCTACGCTAGTATCCTTTCAGGACCATTCCACCATATGTCGTGCAAGCAGAGTACTGTAAGTGCAGCGGTGATCTATGCAATACGGTAAACCACATACTGGTACCACCGCAACGAACTGCACCAGGAAGACAACACTTTTACGTCAATTATGTTAATGGCCCTCAAAATTTGGTCTCTGACACATCTCCTATAATCATTCTAGTTTTGGCCTTATTAGTCTAGCACCTCATTTTTACGGATCTCTGATGTATGGGCCAAATCGAGACATTTTTAGAAACTTGAAATAGACTGTTGATGTTTACAAGTGCCTTTTACAATTTATGTACAGTCACAGCAATAAAATGTTATAAACAAAATTATAATTATTAGACAAAGGGACAAGCAGTCGATGCTTACAAAACGACATAACAAAATGTCAAACAAAATTCACTGGAATATGCTTTTATTTTGGAGAAATTTCTCTCGTCGAGCTTTCTTCTCTTCTTCTTGATGTTTACGTTCTTCTTGTTCTTCTTTGATTTCTTGCTCGAATTTCGAGAGTTTGGTTTGTTCTTCGATCTGAAAAACTGGGATTCAAAACTTTTGAAAATTTAAAAGCAGAATTTTTGAACCTGCTTCGAAAGTAAAATTGTTCTCTTCTCAACAAAGTATTGAACGGTATGGCGATAAAAATTCCTAGCGCTGACCAGGATACCGTATGTCTACCGTAATTTTTCCGCGAAACAGCCGAATAGACCTTTCTTGCAAATTTTGCCTGCAGGGATTACTTGCTTATAGAACCTGCGTTGTTTTTTATTTACGATTTGGTTTACATGGTTTATATGGTAGCTATACGTATATGTATCGACCCAACTTCAGTACAAGAAGTACTTTAAGAATTATGGTACGGTTTTTCGTAGGGAAACAAAACCTCTTTGAAGATCCTTCTAACCTATCTATCCTATCGTAATCAAGAAATGAGATAAGTGTTTGATGTTTATGCTTACCTTTGCTTGGAAAAAGCTTGCAGCACCAAGAACACCTTCTTTTGTTACATCAACACTGTCGACTAGAGTTTGGAACACCTGAAATTTTACAGTAAACTTTAAAATTGTAAGAGCTCAGGTATAGTTAAAACATGTCGTCTTAAGTACTCACCTCTGAGCAACCGAGTTGATTTTGAGCAGCCAGGCGGAAGATGAGGAAAAATTCTCGTAACGAGATTTTGTTGTCTTTGTCCTCATCAACCTGAAAGCATAAAGAAGATTGCGATTGGGAACTCAAACCTCAGTCAGTAACAAAGTCAAAGTAAAGAAAGAATATCAAATACTACATCAAAAGGATAGGAAATAGCAGAAGCTGAAGGGCACTGTAGGAAGCAGTTTAATCATTGTGACTCTCCATTCATGTGAATTTTCGTTCAAAGAATTTTGTTGAAAAATCTTTGAGAGATGTATGAATGAAAACATTGAAAGCTTAGATTTTGAGAATTTTTTCGTAATGACTCCTATGGTCTAAGCTAATGTCTCTGTAAATGCTCACCTTCCTTATGATTTCCTTCAAAGCTATGTGTGTCTGAGCTTCACCAAGCTTTTCCATCATTCTTTTCAATTCGTCGAAATCAATAAATCCATCACCATCTTCATCATACCTAAGAATAAATGGTAATTATGCAAAATAGGAGAAGGTTTGCAATAACGTACTTTTTGAAAGTTTCGTTGAAAAATCTGATTTGTTTCCTGGAAAATTCGGAGAACTCAGCGTATAGCGAGAGCTTCTTGTGAATCATTTCCGGCATTGTTTCGCCTAAAAGTGGAGGTACTGAGGGTAACAATGAGTCCAGGAAATATTTCGAAAGGAAGTAATTTTGTCACTGTGCTGAAGTGATGCAAAGACTCTTGCAAGTTCATTAATAGAATAGGTTATATTGCTGAAAAATACCTCCAGACATCTTCAAATTAAATGTTTGAGGACTCCATAATTCACTGAGGATAAGAATTGTGAAAAAGAATTCAGACATTTAGTAGCAAAGATTATGGCACGAAATGTTGTTGTGGAATAGCATTTCATCTTTGACTCCGGTGAAGGTACGATTGATAATTTGTGGAAGTAAAAAGATAAAAAAGTAACATAATAAAAAATTATTTACTATACAGTGAAACAATTTATAGGTTTGAAAATTTAGACTTATTTAATTGCAGACATATTGGTACCTACTGAATAATAAATCAAAAAACTACCATGCAACCGAATTATTATATTTAAGGGTTCGTCCATCGTGCTAGACTTGCATGGAAATTTCTTGGTCGTCTCTCGGATCCTTAAAATAATTTTCATATTTTTGTTTCAAAAATTTTGCTGGAAACAGTTGTTTAAAAACAGAAAATTCCACAGATTTCGAGACATGCACCATCTTTAACTCCAAGAGCTGGAAGAACATATAAATCTTATAGCTGTCATGCTGCCTCCAAGCCCGTAGTTAATCTTTGATGGACCCGAAATGTGATCGCTTCCCCCCGGACGACATATGGTCGAGTGTCGCATCGAGATCATTAGGGAATCAATCAAGACTTGTCTCCGCAAAATCTGAGGATTTGTTGAGGTCATAGCTTGAAATGATTTGACAATGTTAGTCACAAAAGAAATCAACACGGATTTTGTTTGGAAGCTAAATGATCCCGTGAACCTGAAGTCTGCGCAAAATTCAGCATATTTTCTTTGAACCAAAAGCGAAGGACCATTGTCGTTAACAGAGATGGTAGAAATGAACAAAGGAATAAAATAAAATATTCAATAATATTGTAGTAGCAGTAGGATGATAATGTTGAAGATGGCGATACTGGCAGGCAAAGTAGCAACAAAATCAGGCAATGATAATAATAGCGGTGATATATTAGGTAATAATATTAGGTGGGTCCGAAAGTTCTGTCGTTTCATTTTCAAAAATTTGTAACTTTGCGCTGGGTCAACGTTTCTTTGCCTACAATTTTATCAGAAAGAATTAGTCTTTTGCTTTCAAACGCTGTTTCGTGGAGCTTCTGTTTCACATTGGATGAGGAGATAAAAATGGAAAACTAAGACCGTATAAGCTTTGACCATTTTGAGTTGAGTCACCAAAAATCTGATACGCTGCAGAAAAATCTGAAATCGTCGGTACATATGTTTTTTGGCCTACCCTTGGCAACTGTGAAGAGTTTGTACTGTTTCGACGTCTCTGTGAAAAGTTATAAATTTTGAGTTTACTATGGAAAACGTCAAAATTGATTGCCATTTGCCATTTGCCAATTATCTCAAAAATCATAACTTCCCACAGAGACGTCCAAACAGCATGCACTCCTCACTGTTACAAAAAGTAGGCCAAAAAACATATGTACTGAAGATTTCAGATTTTTCTGTAGCGCTCCAGATTTTTGGTGACCCAACTTAAAATGCTCAAAGCTTATAGGTCTTAGTTTTCCACTTTATCTCCGCATCCAGTGTGAATCAGAAGCTCCACGAAACAGCATTTGAAAGCGAAAGACTGATTCTTTCTGATAAAATTGTAGTCAAACAAATCCGTTGATATAGCGCAAAGTTACAGATTTTTGAAAATGAAACGACAGAACTTTCGGATCCAATTTAATGATAAGAATAAATGAAATAATAAAAATATCATTATTAATGATAATAATTTTTGTGACATTTTTTTAGACTAATAATAATAATTTTAGTGACATTTTTTACTTAATAGGTCACACAATATAATTATAATGATAGTAATAACAACGATGATAATCAGTAAAAGAAAAATTGTAGCGATTTGGGAAGCGCCTGTGTTTTCGAAGTATACTGAATTGCTGTTTCTAACAGAGTAAAAAAACTGGCATCAAGCCATTATATGATCCTGTTTTCTCAAAATAAGGCAGTCAGATGCTAAATTCACTTGATTACTGATTGTGAGTTTTCCAAACGGTTCGAATATTGATTAACAACAGGCATTAAAAATTGTAACAAGTCGGCTAATTTACCCGTATCCACTTGCCTATTTCCGTCGTTTATGCACGAAATGAAATCAAGTAGAATTGAAAGGAAGAAACAAAAAGCCTTAGTAATCCGACGAATTGCAAGATTATATATAGGGCATATATCACATGTGAATAAGAAAGCTGCTCTGGTTATACATATTTGACCTCATTCGTTCTGTTTTTCAGAATGTGAAACAGGAACTATTTATCTCGACTGTTGAAAGGAGGAGGTGGATGAACAAAAAGTGCCATTTGGACTTGCCCTAGGACCACTGTAAAGTCAGATTTCTTGCCTTTGCACCGTATATAATAATTTCTTATTGTATGGAAAGCAAGTTTCAAAGGCTCTCATAAGAGATTTTTTGTAATTAACAAGAAATTTTTACAACAATTTTCACTATTATTTCTTAACTTTTCTTTTTTTTTTTGATATTCAAAATGAGATCTGCATGCATTTGCAAGAAAGATTCAAAAACACATAACCATATATTAATTTTGAAAAGTTTTTTGTGTGGGATTTTTGAGGGACAGGCAATTTTCAAGAATTTTGGTTGACTCAAAAATCCGTCGCAAACGTTACATGAATGATTTTTCGAGACTGCGAAATAAAAAGTAAGAAAGAAAAACATTTCGAAATCCAAACTTGAAAAAAAATCAAAAAAGACCAGTAGTTGCTAAGAAATCCCGTTTTACCAACTTCATAAAGCCAAGAACAAACACAGCTTGGATACACGGGTACTTATACGAGCTCAGCTTGGAACGGCTATAGAAATCGATGTTCGTGCGGGGAGGAGTGACACCCGTGCAAAGGCAATGAATTTCAAGACAACCACTCAGATATTAATTACTCGAGTAAGCAGATTGGGGAGAAGCTCATTTCCGCATTTGAGACACCCAGTTGATACGAAAGATGAAATTTTCCCTTTGTTCCTTTTCTTGCATGAAAACTGATAGTTTTTCGCTTTGGTTAAAGGTAACCTACAAATTTGGCAGTATGACTCTTACTTCCTTGAAGTTGAAGCTTCATGGGAAAAAACGAGCTTTTCTCATGAAGCTTCAACTTTGAATTTCATGTCTCTATTATGTTATGAAGAAGCTTTGACATTTGAATTAAGGTCGTGAACCACTTGCCTGCGGAAATGATTACAGAAAAATTTTCTGCCATTTCAAATTCCTTTCAAATTCTATAAAGGTTGTAAATAAGTAGATAAATGAACAAATAGATTGAATTTGCAAAAATTGGTAGGGGGAAATTATTATAGTCATCTGTCAATAACGGTTCGTGCCCTCAGCGGATAAAGGAAATTATTTGATCGTATCTGTTTTAAATTTTTTAAATGATATCTTGGAACTGCAATATTTGTAATTGATAGTATTTTCAACTGCAAAACTTACTCAAACAAATATCTCAACGAATTTGCCATCATTCATCCTTAATAAAAAAAATCTGTGAAGTTGCAAAAACTAGTAAAACTAGAATTTTCTTTGATAGCAAAACTTTCGAAATTATTTCACAAACATACTCGTAAATCCGATCTTTTATTGAATATTGAAGTCGAGTAAAAAAAATTTTTTTTCTGCAACCGAATACAAGCCATAAAATGATGCAAATCTCAGAAAAGAAGAAAAGCATTTTTTCTGAGGAAGCTTGTCCGAAAAAGCTGAGCTGACGATGGCTTCTACGCAAAAATCACAGCCAATTGGCATGCCGCTATTCCTTCCAGCAAAAGAAAATTGCAAAAAAAGAAATTAAAACAAGGAACTGGAAGATAAGAAACGCTCGGAAAAATTTGTTTTTTTTTGAAGAATGCTGGCTTCCAAGCAGTCAACTTGCGGCCCAAACCAAATACACATCAAGATCGCCTAGCTCGAAATAAGTACACTGAATCTCAACACATTTGCTTCAGCACTTCACATTATCCTTGACCGCCAACAAATGCGTTGTTAACGACGTTCAGCGTTGGTCATTACTAGAAGACTTATGTGAGAACACGAAGCTGTTGAGAAAGAATTGGAGCGTTTGACAGAAAATTCTGTTTGTGCGCAATTCCCAATGCATAGTTGTAGTACAGGAAATTAGATCAGAACTTTGGGAAAAAACTTTGGTTTCCATTGAAATACAAGTGGAAATATGATCTGCGAAAAAGCAGTTCTGCGAAAGGGGTAAAGAAGCGCCCTAGAAAAACTAGATTTTCTCAATAAGCATAATAGTCCATTTTCAAAATTTGGCTTCAGGACCCGGTACGAGGTGGCTTCCGGAAAATGCAAAAAACGATGTCGCCCTTGACTTTGGCGGATTTTTACGAAGTCCTCTTTGATCTAAACCCTAAACTTTGAAACCCTCAGAAAACGAAACGTCGCCTGAGAATTGGTTCAGATTTTACCCATAGAAAATCAATTTTTACTCGCTAATTCACCAGTTATAAAAAATTTTTGATAGCGTAATTTTACTCTCAAGATTATCAAAATAGGGAAACTGGCTAAGACTCTTTTTTGAAACGAAAAGAAAGGGAAAGGAGGAAAAATACCTGAAACACACCTTTCTTGCAGGATAACAAAGGATCAAGTTAGCGCATTATCTCATCCTCCGCTTGAATTTCTCCTTAGTGCTTTCGTAGTAGAAATTTTCAAAAATGGAGAGTCAAAAAGTGAGTTCTTCTGCTAACTAAAGCATGAAAAAAAGCATTTTCTTTTTTTGTTTAGCAGGCCGATTCATTAGGCCAGAAGAGAAAAGCCAGATTATACTGATCTTAGTCCAAAATAAATTCAACCCAACGTCTGCAAAAAATAAAGAAAAATTCT